TGGTTCACGTCAAGTTAAGGGGGTGCCCACGAAAGCACCCAAACGTAAGCGGCTAGATAGATAGATAGATAGATAGATAGATAGATAGATAGATAGATAGATAGATAGATAGATAGATAGATAGATAGATAGACAGACAGACAGACAGACAGACAGACAGACAGAACAGACAGACAGACAGACAGACAGACAGACAGACAGACAGACAGACAGACAGACAGACAGACAGACAGACAGACAGACAGACAGACAGACAGACAGATAGATAGATAGATAGATAGATAGATAGATAGATAGATAGATTAGATTATATACGCTCAAAGTCACCGAAGTTTGCTAAGAAATGCTTCGCATTTAGTATCACATTCTCATCCCGTCAGTCATCATAAACTTTCCAAAAAACAGTGACACTTATTATAAGTGTCACACTTATAATAAGTGTCACTTACTATAACAACACGTTAATTTCTGTATGTGTGTCTTTTACTAGAAAAGGCATACATAGGTAATTCTAAGGACCGTAGCGTTTATCACGCTGCGCTGACCATGCAACGCTTGCACGAAAAGGCGAGTGTTTCCAACGCCTTGCTAAGATGGCACAGTAGTGGCCCCTACCCGTTGCCTTGCGTTCTACACCTTATCACCTCTGAGACATGCTTCGTTTTCCAAGAAAACTGCCAGCTAGCGCTCATGTCTCACGTGTGACATGACTTGATGCGCTCGTTCACCTCCGCTGCACGCTCAAGGCGCTCTAACGCAGTGCCTCCAGAATACCATTTACCGGTTTTCTTGCGCAGAACATCAAATAAATGTTTTGTTCACTCTCTCCACACGCAAGACTATCGTTTTTCGATGCCAATTGCAGATTAACATGCAGATGCGGGGCCATTTTTCTCGGAATATTTATTGCAACTTTTTAGGAGGGTTGAAATTTAGTTGCCACAAGAAGGGCCTGATCATGCATTGCGCTTTATATAGGAAGACAGCTTTTCTTTATCTTTGCGCTGGCTGCATGCACGTTTGAGGTCACTGAAGAATCAGTGCCACCTTTTTATGGCACATAATTGTAAATTTCTGGGTCCTTGCCGGCCGGCTCGAGGTACTCCCTCTCTACCAGGGCATCTATTCTCTTCCTGAATGCGACAGAGCAGGGAGTGTATCTGGTTTGAAGCAAGTTCGTCACCTCAGCGAGAAGGTCTTGGTGTGATAGCGTCTTGTGTGCCTTCATTGTTCTTATAATAGCTGCTTCTAGCTGGTACCGTCGATCTTCGTCAAGGTTGATCGCTGGCTCATTTTTCTTTGGGGCAGTGTTAACTTTAGTGGAAGTCGACTCAATCTTGACCATCTGGAGGCCTGACGTGAAGGCATCGTTAACGGTGAAGATGTGGTCGCTCTCGATCTCGTTTGACGCGGGAATCTTGGTTAGCACGGGCTCGATGGCTTTGCTCATGCATAGCGAGTTCAGCGCTCGAACTAGGTTTGTTTTGGGGATGTTAGTCTTGGAAGCAATGTCTTTGTACGTTATCGCGTCGTGGATGTTGAACAGCATCAGCACGAACATCTGGTAAGTTGTCACCTGGATGACTTAACTTTGTGGCTGAATCTTGCCGGACGATGATGTGTTCGCCGTCTTAGACGTAGATGGCTGATTCTCTGCCGGCCCGTAGAACACGACGCTTATGTCCGCCCACCCTATATGGGGCTGTAGGGTGAGCTGTCGGCCGTTATGCATCGCCAAATAGAACCGTCGGAATATTTAGTAAGCACTCCACGGGGTGACGGGAAGGCTGACTTGCTGCATGGCAGCAGCCAAGAGCCAGAAGCCTGCCGTGAGTACGCGCACGTTTATGTCGACTCCGTGCACGTCCATGCTGCAAAAGGAAACTGCTTGCTTGAACTGCTTCATCGTGTTACTAGAGATGTGCACGTCCTTGAACATGGCTTCAATTTTAGATGTGAAGAGACAACCACATTCCTTTCGGAGCTTGGTGACCATCGCTCTTTCGGCTTCGTCTGACACTCCTGTTGAGCAAGAGTCGCTTGGTCAGATGCTGCTTGTAGTAGCATTCGAAAGGTCTTTCTTCTGCAAGGCTCGAAATATTGCTATGGCTTTGTCCAGGCACTGGTCAGTCTCCTGCTTTGTCATGTTTCTAATTCCTTTTCGCATCATGTCGTCGATGAAGGCAGACAGATACTCGGGTGATTTGCGCGTTTGGCTGAGTATATACTCAAAGTCTGTGGCGATCATGTCTTTGGCCAGTTCATCGCTGTCGAAGTAGTGCTGTATAATGTGGTCAAAATAATCTCGCAGCTCCATCACTTTCGGTATCAGGATCACCGAGTCTCCGTGCTCGCTCACAACAGATCTTCCTAGGTTTCGTAAATATTTGCTGACGCAATCGAGTAAACTTTTGGCGCCACCCGAAATACGTTTTAGGAATAGAAACAACCGAGCCAGGCCATCAGTCATCTGGTTCTTGAGCATATGCTCGACACCCTAGTCTTCCATGTCCACGATGGCTTTCATATACCTCCAGATGAGTTCTTTCTCCATAACTTGCAAGATTGGAACCACGGTAGACTCGTCGAGGCACTGCTTCACAGGATCTAACTCTTCGTTGGTGTGCTATTCCACTTGAGTGACGTACTCGAGGCAGTGCTGCGTTTTGATGTATTGTTGCCCCAGCAGAGCATAGAATTGTGCCGACTCGACGAGAAAGGGCTTCTCGAAGAATTCTTCGTAAACTGACTTCGAATCGAGTCTCAGCGTTACGAGCATTTTGGACGCCTTCTTCAAGGAAACCTTGTCGACTTAGTTGCCTTCACATTCAGGGTTGATCAAGATGAGCATAGTGTCCCGAAGATGATCCCGCACGTCGCCGAAGTGTACCACCTTGTCGCGAAAGAGCTGGACACCTAAATTTTTAACGCTACCAACGTTGTTCTTGGACATGTAAGCATGGTCTAGGTATGTCAAGATGTCGCTAATCATTACCATGCTCATCTGGTGGTCTTCCCAGGCCTGACTTATCGTCTGCAAGCAGCGGTCAACTTTAGCCAACAGGAGGGGGCGCTTTGTTCACTAGCTGCTCCTGTGCGGCTTCGCGTAGCCCATAGTAGAGGCGCTCCCCTTCGTTCCGTATCACCAAGGCGTAGGCGTCTTTGTACAGCTGGTTGAATTGTTGGTCAGTGTTACGCTTATCCAGTATCTCGTCGAAGGCTCTCCGCAGTGGCAGCCATAGGCGTTCGGTGCGGCGGTCGTCTACCTGCGGTGCAGAAATCAGGAAGCGCCCTACCTTGGCATTTTTCTTGTTGGAGAGCCAGGCCATGGCGTCCAGCTGTCTTCTCAGCCCACACTTCTCGCGCTAACACCTTCGTCTTCCTCCTTCTAGGACAAGTGTTGGTGCTGTTTTAGTTGGTAAAAGAATGTTTGAATGAATCAATGAATGAATGATTTAATGAATGAAACGTGTATTTAGAAGGGTGGCCCACGATCCTTCAAATGAGGAATGAGAACAGGAACCCTTTAAATAAACATGGAAACGCTCGTCTCTTTTGCCAATACGTAGTAGGCCAGGAGAGGGTCGCAAATACCAGCCTGCCGATTAATCCAATCATCCGTACTGGGTACGATGGCCCCGTATCTCTGCTGAACGCTGTTTATTGCAGATTAGCCACACTTAAGTGGCCATAAATGCGATCAGAAGCTGCCGAATTCTCTCGTTCAGTAAAATATATGTATCTTAAATGAAATAAGGAAGACCTATGAGAACTTCCTTCTCCTAAATCGCTTCGCATTGGCAGTGATACAGTAGGTGAAATTATATGGAAAGAAGTCCTGTGTATTGCCCAAGTTGTGCTTTTTGAACATGTTTTACCGTTGTGGCGAGAAAAACTGATGATCTTCATAATCGTTTTGGCGTGTACCAGATCCACTTACTATTACGACTGGAAACGTGACGCAAATTTTTAGAATTAGATGCTGCTTGGCGCACTTTTTATTGCGATAATAATTATATGTCTGCGCTTAGCTGATTTTGCCGTCGCCCTTGCCGTCATATCCTGGATATGTATATGTATGTATATATTTATAAAATGGACAAAGAAAATGAATCAAGAAAAAAAATACAAGGTACTCACCGGGGATTTGAACCAGCGACACCTTTTTATTCAAGCTAGCTGCAGTTTCTGCGGTTTGCGAAAAACCGCAGGTGGGTATGTGACATAGGAATTGGACAGGCCCCAATACCAAGAGGTGCAAGCGCTAAACGAAAACCCTGCTTGGCGGTGCGGAGCAAGTAAAATACGCGAGAGACAGAGAGAGAGAAGGAGAAGAGAGAAAGAGAAAATTGGGAAAATGAAAGAGAAAATGAAAGAGATAAAGAGAGAGAGAGAGAGAGAGACAGACAGAAGAAAAGTGGTTGAGATATAATAGAGAAAAACAAGGAAGGATAGAAAAAGGACCAGAAACAGAAACTGAAAGAAAGAGAGGCAAATTATCTAGATAGAAAAAGGGAGAAAAAAAAAAGTCAAACAAGAAAAGATAACGCAAGGTAAGAAAAAACTAAGCAAAACAAAACAAGGAAAGCCATCTAGCTGCGCTTTTTCTTCGGTTTGGCAGCTCTAGTGCTATGCTTCCATGATATATCCTTTTTTTTTTTTTTTTCACTTCCTACTTCATTCCAGTAGAATGGCCCATGACAGCTATGGGTATCGATGGCACTTAGATTGAGGGAACGTAATGCTTAACCAATACGTTATTCAGATACAGTTTGTGTTGATGTATCCAAAGGTTCCATATTTGTCAGGGTTTCTTTTTTTAATGTGATGTGGAGTACGCACTCCATTGTTCTAATATTTGTCTAGTACATGATTGAACCGTCAGATGCAAGTTACTAACGTTAATAATTCATGTGCCCTCCATTGAGTTCCCATCCCGATATCAGTCGCTTGGACGTCGGGCAACATTTATTTATTTGTTTGTTTATTGTTATTTATAGGCACCACTGTGCACGTCTCAATGTCCACTAGCCATTCCAGAAGTGCAGGGCTGGACAGCGCTTACGTTCGCCACCACACAAGGAATGGCATCCACTGTTCGAGTGAGTAAACTTGCTAATCTGTTTTTTTTTTTTCTATTTTCGGTCACTCACCGCTTTGGTTTCTGGTAAACTGGTACATGTGGATTTATGCAGCTCATATTGAATACCGGGATTTTAAGTATACCTCATGCTTAATAACTTGTCACGCCTAATAAAGACTAAAGCAATATCTAGTACTACTCCTTCTCACTGGCGATAATGGCTTTATGAATTCTCGTGTGCCAGTAATATGTGCCAGCAATGTGACATTTTGTGCAATATTGATTAAATAGTTGGTGCCCCTTAGATGGGTTTTAGCTGCAAGTCTAGGGAACGATAAAAAAGGTCTCGATATGAATACACTTGAGTATAACTTCAAGCACCGTTAAGAGGACGAGCACAAGTTCTCGATTCTTGCTGTGGTCTTTGTCTAGGGGCTTCGTATTGGGGATCCACTTGACCGAAGCTAAGTTTTTGCTTCGACTCCAATAAACATAGCATCCAGGTGAACGACGGCAGAAATCTATTATTGATACAGTATGTGACACAACTTCTAGTCTAACATCATCACCATCCTGATCAGCCTGTCTTCACCCACTGCAGGGCAAATGCCTCTTTCATGTTCCGGCAATCAACCCGGTCAGGTGCTTATGGCTGCGACGTTATAGCTGCGAACTCCTTAACCTCGTCTGCCTACATAATTTCCTCTCTCCCCTCGCGCCTTTCCCCTTCTCTTGGGATCCAGTCAGTTACCAATGAGGACCAGCCTTTATCCTACCTACGTGCTACTGTCCCGGCCCCTGTTCATTTCTTCTTGATTTCAATTGTAATATTTTTAAACCGCGTTTGCACCCCGACTCACTCTGCTCTCTTCCTGCCTCTTTAGGTTACACCAAACATTTTATTGCGATATTTTTACTGTCGTCGCCGCCATTCACGTGTATATATATATATATATATATATATATATATATATATATATATATATATATATATATATATATATATATATATATATATATATATAATCATGAAATAAAGAAATTGATCCTGACGAATGCCGTGCCACAGCCGAAACATAAAAAGTATCCAATTTTCCTAAGTGTGCTCTTTTATTTCTTGATTATATGTGCACCGGACCCACAGAGCTTCTTTTTTGAATCATATATCCTCCTCTTTCTGCGGAGCGAGGTGCGAACATCGCCTTTCCGGCTGGGGTCATCTGCGCGCGCGCTTATCTCGTGAGCGAACAAGAGGGGAAGAAGGGGGGGGGAGGAACGATCAGCGCGCGGTTTTGCCCCGACGGCAGGCTGGAGCTTCTTAGAGCTGTGCTGTCAATGCAAAAAAAAAAAAAAAACTGTGTGAAAAGTGCATCTGGAGCGGCCGTCCACATATAGATGCGCTCTATACACATAACAAACTGCCACCAGCGCCGACACACGATGTATAGTCCTTAGTACCAGCATGCGCTGCCCACGGGAGGTGCTTCTCATCAACGCCGTCACTATGCACAGGCCTTGTTGTAATCATCTACTGTGGCCACGCCGCAAGAAACTTGGTTACTTAGCAAGCGCATGTTTACTACAATTAATATTGCTCTTAAAAATGATAGCCTCGCTTCGTAAAACACTCGAATATGTTGCTATCACATTCATTGCTTCGCCCTTTTGGCGAAACTGTGACTTTTTTTTTCTTTTCATCGTTCGCTGCGTCGTCCTCAATTTAAGTTGAACCTCTTTGTAAGTATCCAACTGTCTGCTCCGTAGAGAAGTAGTCTGAAATAGAGTATGCAACAAAAGTATTTCAGCTTTATCGAATATCGCAATGATGATTGCATGATCTTATTTCCTGCACATCTTGCGAAGTACCTACGCGATTTCACCTTGAAAAACTTTACCTGTGCAGATGCTTCTGGAGAAAGGTGCCAACGTCGAAGGCAGCTCAGCTCCAAATGAGGAGAAGGTGACGGAAACTCCACTTCAGTTGGCTGTCGCATTCAGTAAGCGTGTGCTTCATACTCACGTGTTCACTACAATAACTGAGTCTGGTCGCAGCGTGCCGTATTGAAACTGCCAGCATTGCTTGAAGTCTCGCTTGCTGAATAAGGACTTTTCTAGAAGGGGCATGCTTGCGTACTCTTTAAAAAATGGTACATTTTTCCAATGCAGTACCGCTTTAGAATTTTTCGTGGCCCCGTCGGATTCATAACTCTTGAACCGCACTGCGCTCAAAATTTTCTATTCAATTTCATTTTAATTATAGAATTAATCATTGCAATTATTGGATGAACATCGACAGGTCTATAACGTGTCTAGTGACAGCAATTCAGATTTATGACATGTCGTTGATAATTTAGGCCTTCTGCGTGGTCCACTTTTCATGTGCCTTGTGTGTGCGTCTGTAATTAGGTCAAAGTAAACTGGTTTATGCTTCGACTGTTATCTAGTGAGTGACTACTTAAGAAACATTCACTGAACTGTTATGCACGCGTTTCCAAGGCGATCGCTCGTGGTGTACTCCCGACGCGCTAAACACGAAAATTTATTATATGGCGAGCATATGTGGAGGGGGCGAATATAATACCTCTGTACTTATGTCTAAGCCCGTGTCAAAGAATCTCAGCTTACAAAAGTTGATACGTATATTTGTTTACTACGGCGCATGCATCATAATGGTATTGCGATGCGAAAATATTTAAACAAGGGTTGTGTTGAAACGTCGGCTCTCTGTTACGAATTTTTTTCATCGCAAGTTTCTTCTTCCTGCCGTTTTTCGTAATGATATTGTGTTTTTGGAGCGTATATACACTCCCATAATTTTATTGCGGTAGCAACTATGTGGATACTCTAGGCGAAATTTTGTTGTCGCCGTCATGTTCCTTATAAAGTCCAGACTGATAACATCGCTTTATCATCTTATGATCTATGTGCGCGTGAAAGCTTGTGGAAGCTCTAGAAAGGGTGCAGTTGAAGGACTACGCCGCTACGCCAGAACTTGCGAAATGTATAAAAAATGCGTGGTTGCGTGCGCTGGCGGGCGCGTTATCTCTGAAGGTGGTTGATACTATTTTAGTTGCCGTACTCTCACCGCAGTTACTATACGCTTTGAAGGGACAGGCAGCACGAAAACCTCCCCCTCGCTGGAATGGCCGCGTTCTCTGAGTAATGCGAGATCTGGTCTTGATGTAGTTAGCTGCCAATACTTCGTACGGCATTCTGATCTGTTGCAATCACATTCGTTGCCTCGCCCTTGCATTAAAACTGTGGCATTTTCTCTCAGTTTTTTTTTGTTAAGTGATAGTTTTTTCGTGCAGGTCACCTGGAGCTGATAAGCGTACTGCTGTCGTACGGAGCAAAGCCGTTCTGTGCCACACCGTTCCTGGACGCGCAAAGCTACGGTGGTGCGCATCCACGCGGCTGCTATGGAGCAGCGGCAGTGGCGGCGGCACATGGACGCCGCAGCGCGCTGCGAAGGCTGCTCGCCCATCGCGCACTGCCGGAGGCCGACGATCAAGGGGACGTGCTTTCTCTACACGAAATTCTGGCCGAAGGTGCTGGGACCACGGACCGCAGGACAATTAGAAGTAACAAGGTGTGCGCGCAATTAGTTTCTCGGGGTTCTCACTATAGATCGATTTAAGCAACTGTGTCTACACCCACACTATCGTTTGGCAAGAGGGATGAATGAAAATGTGAAGGTAATAGGTACAAACAGTGGTCACAGCACACAATATGCACTTGTTTAGCGTTTTCGATAGTAGTGTCATGGTGATCGTTACTAAAGGACTATAGTGACGCGTCTGCAGAGTGATGAAGCTTATGTGGAAGTCTACGAAACTATCCATCCTGCACTATAATTTTGATGCTGTGAAACAGTGGCTGGTGTTGACATCAATATGTCAGACCATGTAACAACAGTAGGCACTGGTGGTCTGGGTCTTGGAAGAGCACCGATGCCCAGGGACCTTCCACCATCTCTGTCAACCTTGATTATAGCTTTTCTCGATTAATATCATTGCATTAACTCTCTTCATTATCACAGACACACAAACACTTCTTGTAAAACTACACTCTACAAGCGGCCCTGCAACCTTGCATTGTGCTATTACTTACATCATGAGCATTGCGGGAGAGTACTAGCGTCATTGCTAATTGCGGCTACGAAAAAAATTCATCACTCTGATTATAAGAGCAGACTTCTAATGCTCAGTAACATACTATATTGCCAGCTCAGCTATCTGCATGTTCATTACCGCATATTCGATCTTTTCTTTCTTTTCTCCCGTGACCAGACATCGAGCCCGGACGAAGGGCTGGAAGGAGGCGGCCACCAAGTCCAGCAGCGGAAAGCGGGCCAGCCTCTGAGTAAAGCACATGTGAAAGCTTTGCAGGAAGCCATGTACCAGAGCGCGGAGAATGGATACCTCGAGGTCACCTTGGATCTCCGGAGCATAGGTAAGCGCAGAACCAGATCTTTGTTTCTGTATATATAAGTGCATGTCTTCAGAAAGGATATGCACGTACGGCAGGAGTCATACAGGCCAAGTATTTCACATAAGTTCCCGACATCTTTGTTCCTGGCGTTACTGTACATGTTTGTCCAGAGTTTGAATCTAAACTGCTGCTGGCCATTGTTATTTGTCATGTAATTCAGGTTTCGTCGAATATCTTCTATGATCTGACACTATAGATATGGCATGATAGGATCATTAGCTGAGGCCATGTCTCTGGCTCTCATTAGCATCTTGTGTTGACTTGATATCAAAACACAAATTTGTATAATACCGACTAAGAAGTACGTTTTATCAGCTCCTGCAAGTTTCTGTTTTTTAGCCATATATGCATATTGATGATGCGCCATCAACCAAATTCGTGAGCTTTTCATTGTTTAGCTGAAGCTATGAGTAAAAAACTGTGCTTGTTTTGTTCAACGCTCGTAACAGGTGTTCCTTGGACATTACACTGCTGGATGCAAACGTTGACTATGGCTCATGAGCAGCAACTTGAGAGTACTATTGATGAACTGCTGCAAGATTTCCTACATGTCTGGCCAGAAGATTGCAGCACACAGTTTGTGGAAGACTGCCTGCCCCTGCTGTTCTCCATCTTTAGGCATAGCAAGGTTTGTGTAATTATGCAGCCTGTAATGGGAATTGTCTAGAAGTAGAAACGTTTGTACTGAATTTTAATATTGCTCTTGATAGGCAAGATCAATAGCTTTATGAAACTACTGCTTAACATACATGTGATGTCAACATAACAATAATAATTAACAGTGAATATTGCTGCGCAACTATGTTCGCAGAAGCCTCAATGCCTCTTTTTACTTCAGCCGTGTTGCTAGCATTCTCATACAAGGAGTACAATTAGACATTGCAAGTTTCTTTTTCCTCTTCAGAATGAAGGCACCACCCTGCTTTTAGCAGACATCTTCTCTGTTTGCTACGGAGAAGAGAGCATCAAGGAAATTCGGGACGTTTCACTCTCTGGTGGCGCAAGGATAGGTAAACAACACTTTTTTTTCACTCACAACTTACCAGATCTACTTCGTACAAAAAAAGTGTACAGGTGCTTTTCGCTAGTGACAGCGAATGGCTCAGGGCAAATCAAGCAACCAAACTTTTTGGTTGCACAATCAAGCGAAAGTGTGGTCTTATCTTCTTCTAAGCTTCCCATCACAGTACACCCATGTAACGGCACAAGAGATGATGTGCATTCAACCTGGCTATGCACAGCACACGTTGCGGGGGAACATGGAGGCCAGAAACAAATGCAGGCAAAACTGATTAATCGAACTTTCTGTCAGCCTTTACATGTCATAAATTTTCTAACAGTGTGCAGAAGTACCTTAGTTGCAGCGAACACAGAATTCGACTCAGTTTTCTGGCGATAACATCTTTCAACACCAGTGGAAGATGAACAAAAAGAAAAAAGTCAGATATTGGCATTTTGTGCTGATGTATTTTTGCTGATGGTCTACTTATGTTCAGGTGACTCTCACAGTTCCACTGAAGGGATACTTTTGTAAGCAGATGTGCGAGGTTATTGCTGACTTCTTATAGGAAATGCCTTACTACCTTTTTGTTTTGTGATCGTTTCCTGGATTCCTGAGTTCACCAGTCATTTACCATGAAGTTCAGAATGATGGCACTAACGATGTTTGCACCTCGGTGTGTGCTTCAACTGACGTGGATGGCTCGCTCAATATTTTCTACTTGCGCCTCAATCTGCGGTCAACTTTCAGTCTGCCTGATGGCCTGGTCAGACTTGCTGACGCCTAATAAACATTGGGGTTAACTTTCAGTCCACCTGATGGCCTGGTCAGACTTGCTCACCTCTATCAAGCATCGCGGTGAACATTCAGTCCACCTGATGACCTGGTCGAGCTTACTGACCTCTATTACCCATTGCAGTGTTCTTTCAGTTTAACTGATGACCTGGTCAGACCTGCTGACGTTTATTAAGCATTGCGGTGAACTTTCACTCTCCCTGATTCATCAGACTTACTAACATCTATCAAGCATTGTGCGGTCAACTTTGAGTCTGCCTAATGGTCTGGTCGGACTTGCTGATATCTATTAAGCATTGCGGTGAACTTTTAATCTGCTTTGTGATTTGGTTAGACTTGCTTACATATAATAAGCATTGTAAATTCGAAACGAGTTGTTGTTATCCTTCTTTACCGACGCAATTACAACGGTGACGGCCGCCAGTGGCTACTAGTCATACCCCGCAGTCTGCGCTCTGACCTATGCGAATTCTTTCATTCTGATCCGCAATGTGCGCACTCTTATGTCTCCTGCTTTCTAAATGCCTTCTTCTACATATTTGTCGAAGCAGTTGTTTGAGAATGGCAGCTAGCATAAAAGGTGATTTTATTTCATTATCACCCTGTTACAGACCCCAAGTATGTCAACAATCCTGAGATGTCGGACGTGCAGTTCAGGGTAGAAGGTCGTGCCTTCTACGCTCACAAGATCATCCTGGTAAATGCGTCACCTCGCTTCAAGGCAATGCTCTCCTCAAAGTCGGCGGAGGGCAGCACGCCTGTCGTCCAGATCAATGACATACGATACGACATCTTTCAGGTACGTCGTTACTATAATTTCACCGTTTCCGTTTAGAGAGAGAGAGAATAAACTAAGGGCAGAGAAGTCCACCAGAATTGTAGCATCTGGTTGGCTACCCTGCACTATGGGGAGGGAGAAAGGGGGGGGTCGAGCAGTGATAGGAGGTGTGTTCATGTACTAGTCCCTGCAAGTAAACTGGGTAGCTTAATCATGGAACATTTGTGTACATGTATACAAATGATTCAGGAGGCGATCACTTGTATTCTCATTTGGACCACATGTACGGCCCGACAAGATGCCCTCCTTACTAACGCTGGAGGTGCATGTTGTGTGCGACATCAGCGAACGCTAAAAAAAAAAAAAAACCTGAGGTGGCCCACATTTTGCCAGAGCCCTTCACCCTGCTGTGTCTCATGATATCATGATTTTGGCATGTCAGGCACATACTGTGAACATTGAATGCAGGTTGAAGGTAGTCAATTATGGACGTGCAATACAGCTCTTATGTCACATTCACAATGGTGCTCATATTATATTGTAGCGATGCAGAAGTACACAGACATGTCAAACAAATGTATTTTTCAAGATGCATCTGTGCCCACAACTAAAAGCAACTGTGGTTGAAAACTACGAGTCAATTGAGTATTAAAGAGGCCGGTCCGCTGTCTTCTTTTTTCTCACCGTGAGAAGTACGAGCGCTAAGCGCATACGAGCTGGGTACAGCGTGGTGCTCGTGCCACGATGGTCTCAGGGCGGCGCACCTATGTGGGGTGCATGCATGATCTGTCATGGTTGACAGACCATGCACGTGCATGATCTGTCATGCTATAAGTGTATTATTTGTATAGTTAAACTAGCCGACTTGCTACATTAGAGAGGATTCCCAAGTGACTTATAATCGGCTATGACAAAATTTTAGCAAACTTTATGTTATGGTTTGGGCACTTCATTAGCGCAAATACTTGTGTTTTGTCAAGTTCCGGGCTGCGTGGAGACATCTTTGTATCGAAGAACTTTTACTTGAGCTCATGAGTGTTTTACTGTATGCCTTTGTATAGCTTCGTTTCTTTTTTTTTTTTGCTTTGTGACAAGAACTATTGTGCAACTGAAGAGAAGTAGACGGCACCAAGCATAGGCACTAACATCTCCGTACATGCATTTCATTATAGATAGATAGGCACACAAATGTAGTTTCGTTGCTTAGCACTATGGTTAACAGTCTTCTTTATTTTTTGAGTGCATGAGACACCACGGCAGTGGGTCTCTGAATATTATTAATCTAGTCTGAATATATCTGCTGATTACCGTCTACCTCCTCTACCATCCGTACGTTATGCCGTCTATAAAAACAGAGATAATATTTGATTTACTGGTTCTTTTGACTCGCAAAATTCAAGTATGTATCCGCATCTTTTGCTTTGCAGCTCGTCATGCAGTATTTGTACAAGGGAGGCTGTGAAGACTTCGACATTGACCAAAACGATGTGCTTGAGGTGCGTATATGTATGTAATTTATGGCGCCAGGAGAGTTGCACCATTCTTAACTATTGTGTCATTGTTGTCAGTTGATTACTGCACTCACAATGAGCACCCAGTGATGCTGGCTAATTAATATATTAAGTGTTGTTAAAACATTATTACTTCTGATGTGACATTTGGTGACCTGATTGTTACCTTTATTGTGTGAACCATGTGCATTTCAATATAATTGCGGCTGTACATACTTTCAGTCCAAACTTTAGGCGTAGTGAACATAATGAGTAAATACACCTCTGTATTTGTACATTAGCTCTTTGGAACAGTAACAGGACAGAAGCAAATAACTGCATAAATTGCATATAATAAATGCAACTTCAAGAGGGGTGTTTTTTTCTTAAGACAAAGGGTAGGTGTGTGCTGAGCTTTTCCAGCAAGATGGCGCGAAAGGCACGCTCGGCAGCCCGCTCACGCACTTTGTCCTGTGGTGCTTGCTAGCCCGTGTGCGTGCGCACTTATCTCATGGTGGGGCGAAATCGTATGTCTTGGGCTTTCACTGGAATGATTGCATTGCAGTTACAGGGTGCAGGAAGGTCACTTCGCTCGCTGCGGTGTCTGTTTGCGAAAAGAGCCTGCCTTTGCAGCACAGCGAAGTAACAACTGAGAGACTAGTTCACACTCATCCTGTTCATACCTAGGCGTGTATATTTCATATGTCATTTGAGTTTAAGCAGCGCATTGAGTGTCGAGCTGTGAACAGTTGTTAGCTCGCGCTCTTCCTGTGTATGTTCTCTTTGAGCATTTTTTTGTCTTGAGCAATGCGCGAACGTTTCGATCTGGTTGCCGTTCTTCGCGTGACATTCCAACTTGTTGCTATTGCATTCATTGCTTCGTGTTTGCATCAAAACTATGACTTTTTTGTAGTATGCTTGGTTTTAAATAAATTTAAGACCAATGACACATGTTTTTCTGACATCACATGTTTTGGTGGCAAGAACCGGGTTAGCGTACGCGACTTTAGGTTCGGACCTTTGAGTGATCTTGCCGTACATTATCTGAATCTTGCAGCTTCTAACAGCGGCCACGTTCTTCCAATTGGATGGCCTCGTTCGCTTCTGCGAGGCACGCTGTTCCAAGTGTGTTGACCTGGACAACGTGGTCGCCACTTACGTGCATGCCAAGGTCTACAATGCAGTCCAACTTCTCGAGTACTGCCAGGGTTTCCTGCTGCAGAACCTGGTCGCGCTGCTCAGCTACGATGACGGTGTACGGAAGTTGCTCTTCGGCAAGCGGTTACACAATCACGACGTTCTTAGCGGCTTGCTACTCACGCTTCAGGCTAGAGTCAAGCAGCGGGTAGCCATGTCCAAGTCTCTCGCCGGCAAGCGGGCTTCCACCAACAACGATGCGAAGATGAGGCTAGTCGGTCCCAACAAGTAAATGATGGCCGCCACAAACGTCCAGTCAACGGACATAAGATCAGCAAGGTGCGGCTTCACAGTATTCTGCATATATTTATGAATAGATCAGTTTAGTGTTGAAAAATGTACATGCCGCCACTTTTCTCTGACTTTTACAAGTTTGTGTTTATATAGTGAAAGTATAGATAAGAAATGACAAGTATGACGGTGATTCCAGTTTGAGGATTCGGCACCCACTAAAAGTGACGATGCAGCAATAATGCAAAGATGAAAAATCAAGCAAGAATAAGACAAATGTAATGCATGTGCCAGCCTAAACACCACAATGCAGTGTCAATGTTTTAAGCAGTTCCGGTCCACGGATAGAAAACACATTAGAGTTTTAGTTGCAGGCGCAGATAGCATGAGAGAGGCTTTCACCACATTCCATCAATTGCGAATTCTCTCATTCGCAACTATGCTGGTGGAGAGCGTGATAGTGAAGCGATGGTAAAGTAGCGCCAATGCTATGTTTTTCGGCCAACAAAAAGATCAAAGGGCAGCTAAGTTCTTTTGGGGCACATATTTAATGGGAAAATATAACAAATCTTGAATCAACTTCTATTTTGTAGACTTTCAATCGCAGTCTGTGAGTATTATAGAGTCATGTTAATTTTACAGAAATCACGTGAAAAGGTCCTTGTGTAACATGGCTCTAACATAGCTCTTTTGACATTGCTAACAAGTTGGCATCAAAAGTTACCTTTGTTTATGAACTTCTAATGTCATAAATTTGAAAAGTGAAAAAAAAAAACCAAAAGAATAGGACATGTGTGTTGTATCTTCAGTCAAGATTTATGAGATTTTCTACCTTGTCATTGTGCTGTGTTAACTCAGGTCAGTATCTTCGATCTTATTCCCATGCAGGCAGAAGCGGTGACTTGAATGAGTATGCACCATGAGATGACATTCTGCCTGAGCTCTGCCACTGTCACTGAAAGAAACCAACAACACCAACAAAAATACAGTGAAGAATCCGGCCATCATGTGACTCGCATGCGTCAGAACTCTAAAGATGGCCAGCATCTTGTGAACTTCTACTCACCCACGCCCTGCTTCCATGGACACAAAGAAATGTTGAAGTCTACATATGCAAATATTGCTTCCCTCATGTTCTCGAGAACTAGCACAGCTGTCCAGCATGCCTTAAGCATCTGTGAGAAGAAAAGTGAATTTGTGTCTTCATCATTTCGTGCTGTAGTAGATGGTGGGGTAACACTGCCTTGTGGGGTGGGGATGTGATACCACTGTAGGTAATGCGCTCAGAGATTTTTCGGCTTACTTTGGTTTGCACTTAACTTGGCGCGAATGTCATGAGTGCCTTGGCAGCCTTCATGGGTGCACTAAAGTCTACGATTGTTTGCCTCTGTAGTGGGATTTTGAATCTCTATGTGTTTAGGGCTCAGCGCTGCCTTGAGTCGTTTCCTGTGAACGACGTTGACTATGAAGGGGACTGTCTTTTTTTGTTTTTTTTACAATACTGTACTCATCCTTCTTGCTGAGACATTGCGACTCAACTAGAACATTTTTGTGTTCCGTGTATAGAGACTGTGCCCCTAGATGACCTTGCATTCAAGCTTGCAAGAAGTGGCATACCAGTACCGGCCCTGACAAAGAGGGAAGTTTGATCATGGCTCTGTTCTTTGGCATGACAATGAAAACCCTGCTAGACATTCTAAATGTATTTTTTATGTATTAAAACGGGACAAATATTATGCAGCCTAATAGGACTACAGCTAGAAGTTTCTGAAAATTGGAACTTTACCGCGTGCTCGTGAGTGGATGTCCGAAGTTTGCTTCAGATTTTGTGTGTATTTTATGCGTTCTTTTCAACTACAAGGTTTCTTTAGTTGGTATCTAAAATTATCAGGACTAACGTAGCTGCCATCTCGAGGTGCGAGATGATGAAATAGTGCCATGTCGTGAAGTGTTATCTTGACGTGTTCACATGCAAAAGTGGGTCGTTTAAAGCTCTGACGTGGTGTGCTATTCGTGTCCATTCCTGAGTAGCGCTAACGTTAGAGTTCGCTTTTGCGTTTCTGGTATGAATCGTAGGCTGCCAACGTGGCGTAGTCAGCACCGATGCTCTAAAAGATGGTCCTTGGTTGCAGATACTGTTTAGGGGCCAGTGCCATATCACGTGGTCCGTTCACGTATTCGGAGCTGCTCGCTAGTTCCCAACTCTGTCTGAAGGTGCCGGTAGGACTGTTACTGAAATCGGTGCGTCAAGTTGTAGCCGCGTATTACAGTAGACTCCCAATAAACAAAACCTGAAGGGACCAGTAAAATGTTTTCGTTTAGCAGGAGTTTCGTTTACTGAGATATAAACAGGGGCACAAAATGCAGGAACGAAACCAATCTAATGTGCAGCTAATGTGCAGGCATATGGTTTATGAGCTACTGATACCTTCAAAAGCTGATTTTCGTGATGCTGAGAAATACACCTTTAAAACTACCACATTTTATTCATATACAGTACAGACGCACTCGAACAAAAAAATGAAAATAAATTATGAGTATGGGCACAACAAAGGACCGCCGTCTTTGAACAATACATGCGAAGGCATTCTATTGTCAGCTATGTGCCTTCACTGCATCCTCGAGAAAATAAGGTGCAGTTTTCAAAACTAACAGCTCAAAAAGTAGCCTGTGTTTTCAATTTTGCGTTGACTGCCTATACTCTTTGCAAAACTCAATGCATGAGATTGAGAGAAATGCGTTTCCCTGTTTAAGCTGAGTGTCTAACAAAAATTGCGCGCCCTGGTCAATGTGCTTGTTAATTGTTTCTTGTTATGACAATGACGTTCACGAAACAGGCCGAGCAGTAGTTCGTAAATGACTTTGTTTTCACTTCTGACGTTGATTGACAGAAGTGTTGTATTGAAACATTCTCGTTTTGCAACGCTTTGGTCTTTTAACAATAACAGTAAACGTCCCTAGAAGATTCCTCTATTGACACTAACATTCCGTGTGGGACCAATATAATGGCTTGAACATGCCTGACTACGTGTAATACTTATTCACCAACCGGCGTCTGTTTTTCCAACTGCCCAGCGGAACTGGCCAGTCGCGGCATGTCGGGATGGCTTTGCAACCGCAAAACAGATGGGAACATAATCGTTGCCGAAATGAGTGCTGAGGAATGCAGAGTTCTCTTGAGTTTGTAAATAGTTTCATGTCTTTGGTGCACAATTTAATGTGAATGGAGAAAACAATTGTGTGCTCTTAGACTCAGCCCTGGTAAAATACTCGTCCTGAGTTGTCTTTTGTGGTTGCCATTTTGGATCCTGTAAGTGTTGTGTGAATGTGTGTTTATATTTGTGCATAATCTAAAGTAGTAATGAGCGTATCATTGTAGTTGCTGTCAGGAGTGACTTTGAGTGCTCTCTTCCCAGTGCTGCAAAAAAAGATCGCTGGATACTGAATTTAGATTTTCATTCTGTGTGTGTTAACAGGTTTTTAGTCCACAGGAAACCATCAGTAATGATATGAAAAACATATCAGGGAGAGCGGCGTATGGACCAGATAATTTCAGAAGTGACACGCGTGACGCGCAGTGTCTAACACTAGGCAATAACTCACTGCAATTTTCTTTTCTTTATTGAGTACAACTCAAGCTGGATAGTTTGTCAATTTATTGGAAAAAAAAAGTCGACTGATTTTACAACAGGGATTCACTTGCTTTGGACCTTATGCAATAATAGATTTTCTGATATCGAACATACTTTAGAAGACTTTATGAGTGGTATTTAAAAAATGGCAAAGTATCAAAGAATGATTGAGGCATCATCTGTTTATAGGACGTGTCTATTGTCTCTCCCTGCTTTGAAGTGTTTGGTGCTGAATTGTAATTGGGTGGTTCCCATACTATTTTCTGATATTTCATACGCGACCTATCATTTGGCTCCTAATATCTCCTAAATCAAAAACTATGTGTTCTTCTGAATTTTTTTCAAGTATTTGCTGTTTTAGTATGTCGCACTCTTATAACAAAAATGTTATAAATAGTTTTTTTTGTAGTTACTGATAATATACGTTGTCAAAATATTCCCTGCACGTGCGCTGAACTATTCCTTCGTAGCTGATGAGAGAAAAATACTGGTATCGCTTCAAAATGGTCAATTTTTCCACCTTGTAAAAAAAGATGTTAAATCAGATAAAACATTTTTTCTCGGTTTTTCATAGGGGCAAGAACTTTGAACATGAATGACGTCGAGCTACACGACAGAAATTTTAACATTGCTAATAAAAATATCCTCGAACGAAGGCCAACATATTCTCCGCTTGAAACGTGTTTCTAGGCCAGTTTGGTAACACTACTTTGATAATCTCTCATTGGCCAGCATTTCTTAGCCATTTTAGTGCAGCTTTATGAGCACTCATTGAAGGTTTGTTCGGGGACACTGACATTTATCATGGGACTAATGAATTGTGTTCAGTCTATTATTATGTTCTGTGGCCTTTTTAAGAGAAACTTTTTTCCTCCATGTGTTTACATGTGGTACGTTATCTTACTGCAATGGAACGTTTTGTTCAAGCGACCCAAACGACAATGTCGTCTCATCCAACATAAGTGGGACCAAGAAAAGACTTGCACATTCACTCATGTTCATGTGCCAAACGAAGCCCAGCTTCAGAGCATTACGATACCCATGCCTAATACATGTCATTTCCTTCACATCTGTGTGTGTAACCTAGGACTATTTAATAATGTGATCATCTACAGTAGCATAAGTTGCATTTAGTTTCACATCAGAATACTTGCGCGTTAGCGGACTGGATACTTCTTATTGTTTGCAACTATATACCGGAAATAGTGAGTGCGTATTTACGATAAACGTCTTAGTGAACTCACCAGTCGAGCAGCTTTAGTGCCAAACAGGCAGCCTGCAAATGCGATGAGTCGATGTCAAAAACCGAACCTATGTTTTTTACGTTGAAATCGCATGAGTGAACTGTTAAGTATCGATATGGATGTGGTGAGGCACTGGAATGATATGAAATGACTGTTTGATGTCACTGCACTCTCAAGAACACAAGATGGTCTAAATTTGTGAACCCCTCCATTGCGTTGTGAATAATCATATCGTGGTGTTAACTGGTAAAACTAAAGATATTGCTCTTATTATTCACGCAGACTTCGTTTTTCACTTTGGGCAAGATTTCGCTTTGTCAGAATTGCGTTGCAGATTTGGGAAAAGCAAACAAAAAAAGAGAGAAATGGAACTCAATTGGCAGTTTGATATTGTTTCGAGAACTTCTATAATGCAGAACCTGCAAAGACGTTGGAATGCTTTTGAAGGTATCTTAGGTTGGCTAGGTTGTCTAGGGTTATTTGCAGAACAATGCAAGCTGCTGGACATGCGAAACTCAATGTCCCGGCAAAGCAACTGTTCTAGCGTGAGGTCCTATGTGTTTCATTTTACTGTCCTGCCTTGATGTTCATTTAAATACTTCGTTGCCAGGTGGTGTCACTGTGCGATGATAAAATTCACAGCTGGGAACATTAACATTGCTGGTTAAGAACACAAACGAAAAGAAATGGTCGTCATCCTGAAAGCTAACTGTTCTACATCGTCGCCCCTTTTCTACACTATTCATGTTGGTGAAGCAAAGGGTATGCTAGGATGATGTGTCTCGTGGTAGTAGGCCTAAATAAACACAAAAAAGAATACTCATCAATGTCCTGTGAAGTGTTCACGTTGCCACTGTGCATTATTTCATTTTGATAATATTTACGGTGATTACTAAGACAGCCTTGTTGGCAAACTACCTCAATGCGCTTCTTCCGTATCGTTTATCCATTTATTTTTATAATTATACGAAGCGTAGTAATTAAATGCACACGCCATGTCGGAACCTTGTACATAAAAAAACTCCTGTCATCCCACCGAAATCAAATTTCTGTGCCTAACTTGGACAAAAAGAAAAAAAAAAAGGTCGTGACAATCATAGTCACGACTTAGACAATCGCTACTGCGCTAGTTCAACCGCCGAAGAGATTCGGTACATAGCTTTGTAAATTGATTTTCTTTCTTTTTTTTTCCTTGCGCTTGCATACAATATTTTTTGCCGCCAGCGCTGTGTGTTTCCTTAATTTGTCTAAAATTGTGTACCACTACCTGGCAAATGCCGAGCGCATAATGGCTAGAACAAGAACATTATACTCACTTAACAATTATGTTCGGAGGGAGGGAGGGTGTATTTGTGTAAAGCGTTTGGCTAGTTTATGTTTGTTTTGTGTGTCTGTGCATGTTTTGTCGAACCTGCAGAGTTTGTTCTACCTGTGTTTTTAATTGATGCATGCAACGTGTCCCTTAGTTTGGAGCTTTTTGGGCACTGAAAAATGAGTCAACAACGAAAAAAAAAGAATAACCACGAATACAAAATGCGGAGCTTGTGTAGCTCTCAAAACTGCTTTGTGTTTTTTTAAATAACTGACTGGTAAGAAGAATAACACCAGTTTTCAGTGCCTGTGAATCGAAAATAAAGTTTTTTTTTTCAAGAATGTATTTTGTATGTCTTGTTATTCTATTGTAGGTTCAATGCACACACTAGTGGCCTGTGCCTTCTGCTTTGCAAGATAACGTAATCGCATGTGCTTTTTTGCCTTGGCGATAATACAGCATAGTTTGTCGAGAAATTTGTACCAAAAAAGTTATCTGCTTTGTGTTCTCTCTTTTTGGATGACTGTGGTGGTGATGTCGTTGCCAGTAAAGTCCTTTAATCTGGGGACTTTAGTTGCCAGAGGCACAGTCACAATGGGGGAAACAAAAAATGTGCAAGTGACCGGTTGCCGGAGCGGCAAAATTGTGGCATGTGGCGCTGTTTTTTCTCGAGAATGCCGATATCGAGAGGGCAAAGCGCATTCCATTTTCCAGAGCAGGGGTGGCCGGTGAAAAGTACTCTAACAAATGGCTTTTTCGGGGCAACCACGATAACGATATTGCTCGCAACTCGAGTGAAAAAGAAAAAAAAAGTCCTGCTCAGCCGCATCTGCCGATAAGCAGGTAACAAGCGCTTCTTTAAGATATGGGCTTTCAGATGGTTCTGCAGCAAGATGGCCTGCTTTCCGCCGGTCCGCAGTCCACCCCTGCGCTGTAAGATGGAATTTGCTTGGCCAGCTGGCATTCTTGTTTTCAGTGTGCTCGTGAACGATGGCACCAGGGTGCCGCAATTTTGCGGGTGCTGCCACCGGTAACTTCAGCTAATCTTTTTTCGTTACGACAGTACACTAATAACCTGCCCCCGAGTTAACGCAACACAGCGTGGGGCACTTTTGTGGTCACGAGGTTGCTCGCCATAATTCCGAGAAGCAACGAACGCGCTGCAACGATGTGAAGGCAACCAGGACTGCTTGACCGTCAAGCATGGAACTATACCTACGCGGCAGCTACAGTGGCCTTTCTCGAATCTTGTTCCTCCTTCCACAGTGCAAGGTAGTTAAGCGGGTAAGCAGACTCAGGTCTAGTCACCCTCTCTCCAGTTCTTGCACTTCACCTCTTCCTCCAGCTTCTCCTTCACGTTCATGTAAGTATTGAGGCATGTCATCGTTTAGAAACCATCCTGCTGTGTCTCATACACGTTTCGCTGTGAAGAAGAGAATGCTGCCCTGGTATCTGGAAACAATTACCGCACCCCCTCCAATATTATTTCTAACCTAATTTAGCTCTTACAAAATATTATACATAAATCCAGTCGGTATGATTGACCCGACTCTTGGCCGATCCCCCCGAGTAGGTACACTCTTAAAAAAAAGTTAGTAAAAAGGTAGCAACTGCAGGCAAATAGGTAGTAACTGCAGTGGTTACTACCTTTCTTCAACCGTTACTACCCTTTTGCTACCTGTTTACTACCTACGTTAGTAAACAGTTACTGCCTGCAACTGTTGCTAACTTTTTGCGACCTCTTTACTACCTACGTTAGTAAACAGTTAGTAACTGAAATGAAAGAGGTAGTAACTGCAGCCGTTACTACCTCTTTGCTACCCGGCTTTTGACTACCCCAATATAATGTGTGAATGAGATTCTGATAATTTATGAGAGGAATCGTCTCGACGTATAATCATTACACAGAAAAATGACGCAGAAGGTATCCATACATCAAGAAAATACATTTTGTTTTAAATTACGCAACCGAGATATGTAAACGTCATTCTGATATTGTCGTAACGAAGAAGTGCGAGTTAACGAACCATAAGCGAGTGCTACACGTATCGTAATAGACAATCACGACAAACTTAGTAAATTACAGCACATATTAACAAGACCGGCAGATCAAAGTAACCAGACGGTCACAATTAACCTCGAGGACAGTCACAGTTAATCCACTGCGGCGTGTCTCCAAATATTATCATTGTTTTGGCGCGCCAAACCCCTAAACCGATTATTGCCTTTTAAACGCAGTTATGTTAGTCGTGTGAAGCATTAAAATGCACTGAGAATCAGTTCGGTACATTGCTCCGGCCACTGTACACAATACCTTTTTGTGGCCATTTTATAACAAATAAATATGATATATAATTTTTTAGAAGCATGTCTGATTAAAAGTCTTGTGCTACGTCACCAAACAGACGTAGCCAGGTAGTATAATATAGTGCTATAGGTTTATATTTGTAAAAATTCATCCTGAAACGCAAGTGCTCCCCTGTGCTGGTCACAGCGTGGCAGGGCGACAAAGATTAGATTGAACAATCTGAGATTCCGGAATGAATCTGCACGTGTTTCAATGAAGTTTATTGGCCAGCTCTTCCGAGCATTCCAAACAAATATGACTCTTGACCACGACCTACTGTATGTTACTGACCTGCCCAGCCAACGAAGCGCCAGCACGCCGTTCCTGGTACTGGCGCCTGCCGTTATGCGCTCTGCGGCGCTACAGCTTACCCCATCCGCACCGGTTGCTGACGGCCAAAAACATAGACCGCCGTGCTATTTTTATTTTTTTTTTTGTCGTCTGCTCGCGCGACACTGGGAGAAAAGCAGCAATCTTTACGCGTGCATACACTCTGAACGATTAAAAAAATGAATAAAAGCCTCTTTTTGAATAAACTTAAAAGTATAATGACGATCTTTAGCTACCATATCCTCGTGCCGAGCTGCGATAGAAGCGTGCAGGTAGGTGCAGTTTGTACACCAGCGAAGCGAGGTTTCTTGGTGCAAATGAACCATCACGATGGTGGTGTTGCTGCGTGCCTTTCTGCGAATCAAGGCAAGGGAAGACTTCTGATGTCACTTTTCATGAGTTTCCAGTGACCGAGATTGGTGAAAAATGAATCAAGGTGATTTCTAGAAAGGGTAAGTCTGCTCATTAGGCGTTGTCTGGCATGCTGAAAATGTAATGGGTTGTAAGTGACTACGTGTCGTTAAAAGAGTGAGTTGCTGGGCTGGTTGGTGGTGCATGACAGACTGAGACTCATATTAGCGCAAAAAAATAATAAACCGACAACCCCAAGAAAGTAAATGACGACGTGCTATACTCACACTTTTATTCGCAAAAAAAAAAAGAAAAGATGACAAGAGTGCATACATGGAAGCCATGTCACTACATGTGGTTATGCATCTAGGTTTTCAAACACTCCCATTGTGGGAAGAAGCAGCTTTTTCGAGATTGCTTTGGTAGTTTAATTACATTACCAAAAAGAGCAGAGATCGTTGCATAAGTGAATATTTATCATCTGTCGCTTAATTAGTTTGACCTCGAACTTGAATTTATGTGCTACCGCGTCTGATATAAACGTGTTAGTTTACCCGTCTACGCGCATGCGTGACAAAAGGACACATACGTGAAAACTTTTCTCCTAATGAAAAATTGTGAGTAGCGTGTGTCCTTGTCTTATTTCTTGTGGTCATCCGTTTTATTTAGTGCTAATTTATCTCAGCCAGATACGTGTGTCACATGGTGAACGAGGTGAAGTCATACGCTCACTTTATAACTGTGTTTTATTCACTTCGCCACCATGGTATAAACTTCTAGTTGCATGATATAATACTCCTTAGTAAATAACAAGAAATTTTGTATTTTATTCACAACATTTCACAGAATGTTCATCTTCTTCCTTTCAAGGTGCTGGCAATGAAGTTGGGCTCCCAAATGACAGGTCGAAGGTGTGCAGTGTGCACTTGTGCACTTTGCTCCAACCGACTTTAAGCCGGGACTAAAGATAAAAAGACTCAAAGCGGAAGCTGTGCCGTCAGTGTTTCCATACTACCCAAAGTACATGGTGCCGGCCGTGGAAAAAGTCCACCGCACCTTGAAACGTTCAAATCTTCAGAAACATGGACCCTGCCCAAAGAAAAAAAGTGACTAACAATGTTTAATGCTTGACGTCTCCCCACGGCTCTTGCATACAAATTGGACCAGTGAAAATGAGTTCAAGGAAAGGCGTATAACACAACGCAATTTTTTAATGCAGGAAGAAAACAGGTTCAGCCCCGGCGCAGCAGAGCTTGCCGTCGAGCGACATGTCATCAGTACCATCCACAAACACAGCTGCGGGACCATCCTCAGACTTTATGCACCCTCTCACCGAATTTGAACGCACAGAACCACCTGAAACTGCCCCTGGCGACAAAGTAAAAAAAAAAAAAGACCGACGCTCTTTGACCACGCAAGCAACCATAACCAGCCAGAAGATGCGCCGTGTGATGACTTCCGCAAAATCATCGCGCCGGAAATCCCAAACCATGGCAAGGAATAATGCTGAAGTAAAAGCGCAAATAGCCAAGCTGAACCGTGAAGTTGCAGAGGTTAATCTGCTCTCCAAAAGAGCAAACGCTGCAGTCTTGCAGGTAAAGTTGTATGCTGTTGTTGTTTGCTGTTGGTGCTGTTTCGTTTCAAAACAGTTGCAGAGTGTTTTTTATTGATTATTCATGAACCTGCGATCTACATTTGACATTTGAGACGAAGGTATTTATGCGCAAAATTGTCTGTATTTGGTTGTCTTCTATGCGCGCGGGATGCCGCGGCCACTGTCAAATGTCATAGTCCTCGCCCTTTCTTGTCCAAACAGTAAATTCAATCCAGCCGAGTGTGCGACAAGTCTACCATTGTATACACGTATAGCCGATATCATGAGTTACATAAAAATTTGGTGGACCAGCACTTTTTACAACTTGTCTCTGTCATCATTCTTTGTTTTGCACGTTGATACATGTGTTTGTATCTGATTTGCGGTTCTATTTGAAAAAAAATAATGCACTGAAATATCAACTAAAATGCAAAAGAAGATTCTCAAACTCACATGAAACAAAATGATTCAAGATACCCGCCACATTTACTCAATGCGTGATGAAACTCTTCTCGAACCGGCGGTAACCCATGCATTTCCATGCATCCACAAGCGCTCATGGATGGATGAATGGATGGATGTGGCTGTACGTACCCTTTAGATCGGGCGGCGGCTAACGCCACCTAGCCGTAATACTTAGTGAACTAACCATTACATTTATCTTTTTTTTCCTTTAAATAATGAAGTTGAGGATTCGTACTTCGCAGTGAAGGGTTTAA